CGGCGCCATTTATATATATATATATATATATATATATATATATATATATATAATATCAATAACTAAAAAGCAGAAGATATAGAATAAACTAGACAGTTTACATTTCCAGTTAAAGTGCAGTGTGAATGCTTAAAGCTGAAAACCTTTTGCAGAATAGCCAAAAAAGCTGAAACTAGCCTAAAAAATACTGACTGGTCCTGTGGCTACAATGTAGCTTAACACCATCAGTGTATGAATGTGTGAATAAATGGGTGAATAACTAAAGTGTAAAGAGCTATACAAGCTCAGTCAGTTTACCAAAAATGGGTAAATAAGTAGATGAACTAGCTGAAATTCAAAGAAACAGAAAGAACAAGTTTGCTGAATTAAGAAGTAAGAAGCTGAAAGGAAACGGTGAAATTAGCAGGGAAAATCTCAGATAAGCTAAACACTAAAAACACAGAAAACATCTGAAATGAGCAGAAAACAGCTGAAGGAAGCACAAAAAAGTTTAAAATAGCAGAAAAATAGAAAATGCCAGAACGAGGACAAGGAAGAGGAAGAGGATCAGTACAACAAAAAATGTCAGAATATGTTGAAACAAGGACACAAACAGCATAAAAACAGGTAAACATACTGTAACAGAATAAATCAGGAAAATAAATAAATAAATAAAATTCAATAAAAAGAGAAACTAAAAGCAAGTACAGTGACCTTTTACTACAGAATGTATAGAACTTTTAAAAGAGGGAAATGAATGAATCAAGTTTTAAGGTCTGTTGTAGATGGTTCCAAATCATCTGCAGAGAGCGACTAAAGGCGGTACGTGCTTGGTAAGTGCCTGTACGTAACCTGGTGTTTTTCCAGTGAGGGTTTTGTAAATTTTGCGAATTTGTCTGCGAGAATGAAGAGATGGCCAGTTTATTAGGGAGTACAGATCACAACGGTGTGTTTTAAACAAAGCACCAGTGACAAATCGAATTGCGGCATGATGAATAACATCCAGTTTATGAAGAAGGATTTTAGAGGCTGTAAACCAGGGTTGGAAGTATCGGCATTTTAACCAGGAGCTGTTTGGCAGAGTGAGTGAAGAAAGATTTTTTGTGGTAAAGAAAACCAATGCATTTAATCTTTGACTGCGGGACATATATGTGGGTTTTAAATGTGAAGTTGTTGTCAAGCCAGATACAGAGATGTTTATAGCTTTTGAAAAAATCAATCTCAGTACCATTCAAAGAAGATATTTTAAAGGGGCTCTCGATTTGTGGTAGGTTCCTGTTAAAAACTATACATTTAGTTTTGTCTGTGTTCAGAACCAAATGCAGACAAAAGCCTGTTGTATTGAAGTGAAACTAGTCTGCAGTGAGGACAGAGCAGTACTATAGATGATGGTGTCATCTGCATACGTATGAACATGGAAGTCACCTACTGAAAGAGGGATGTTATTTATGTAAATACTGAAAAGAGTAGGTCCTAGAATGCTTCCTTATTGGACACCATTCGCTAAATACCAAAAGTCAGAGCCTGAATGTCCTGAAAGAATTAAATGTTTTGATATTTAAATTGTTGAAATGAGGCAAAATTTGCAGACCAAGATATTTGCAGAAAAATGTACGAAAGAAAATTGTTTCATTGTTTCATCCATTTAATTACATTTTTTCAACATGATTTAATTTCAATGATTTATCGATTTAATTTCAATGTTAATTGAGTGAGAGAGTGAATGGTTGTTTGTCTCGTTTGTCTCTATGTGTGTCCCTGTGATGGACTTGCGACCTGTCCAGGGTGTAACCCGCCCCGCGCACTGTGACCCTGAAAGGAAGAAGCATGTACAGAAAATGGATGGATGGATGATTTAATTTCAGCTATAATCTTTAAGAAAAATAAAATTAAATAAATCTGTCCAATAAATCCAACAGTTCTTATTTAGGTTATTTCTGTCTCTTGGTGTATTTTTGTACACATGTTGATTTCTTTATTATTATTATTAGTATTTTCGAGTGCGGCGCTGAGGCTCCGTTTTTTTCATCCCTTGTTCTGCTATCTCAAAACGAGATTAGCTCCGGTTGTCGTGGCAACCGTGCACACGCAGAGCCTGAGCGAGCCGAGCTGGATGGTCTCATCTGCCCCGTGACCGTGATGGATTTCTGAGCGGAAGCTGCCGATGTTCAGTCAGCGTGAAACGTTCGAGGCACTTGCCATTACAGAKCTTTTCAACTTTGCCTGTTAGCAAAATACCTCACTAACCACTGGATGGATTTGAATGATACTCTTAAAAAATTAATCATTGGATCTACTTTTACAACTGATTAACATCTGAAGTCAGCCCAATAGATCTTTTTGTAGGTACAAATGCACAAAACACTGAGGCTTCTATGGGAACACCACTGGAGTTGAACAAATTCAACCTGTAAATTTATTTAAATAAATTTCTTTAGTCAGGTTTTAATATCTTAATAATTATGTGGGCAGAATCCCAACTTACTGCTGGATCATTTAGTAAAGTAGGTAGTGGGTAGAGGTAGGAGCTAAACTAATCAAATATTTTAAATATATCCTGGCTCACTCAGTTCATCTACGTGAGTAAGAGCAGATCAGAATAAAATTATTCTGCTGCACTTAGAGATTTTTGCTAATGAAAAGTGCATTACAAATTAAATTTATTATCATTATTAAAACACATAAGATAAAAGGAAAAAAAACTTGGTCGTTTCCCTTAAATTTATTAGCAATGCAGGTTTATATTTTTACCAAATAACCTCTGACCCTTACCCACAATTCCATGTGTGCAAGTAATTACAAAATGGACTGCTGGCGATGGCTGCCAGCTAATTTAAAATGTCTTTAACTCAGTCAGTTTTGCAAATTTTGAGCTAGAATATGATGTGGTAGTTGAGCATCTGTCAAAAACATATGCTGAGCTTTACATAGAGTCAGTGTTAGAGGATATGTTTCAACAGATCTCACAACACTGCATGAAATCACACACAGTCATTTATAGGCAGAAGTGGGTATAGTTACTTTTAACTCAGTTACATTTACTTGAGTAACTTTTTTTTATAAAAAACTATATTTTAGAAGTAGTTTTAAAACACCACATCTTTTCCTTTGAGTAATATTATTATCAAGTATCAGTACTCTTGTGTCCTGTCTCAGATGTGAGTTGACATCAGAGAAGAGCTCATTACTCCCTCTGCTGGTGAGTTGAAGTAACAGCAGTTAGACTGTGAGCTCCCAGGTTGCATCATGGCCTTGTTGCTCTCTCTGCCTCTTTGTCAAACCTACAGGTTTCAGCCTGTGAGACATCACCATCCACAAGAACAAAAAGACATTTCGAAACCTGACTTTTTACCTTCTTTGTCATTCTTTAGAAATCCAGTTTCTTGTTTTGTAATTTAACCACATARGTATTTGGCAACTTGGAAAGGGAGAAAAAGCAGCTTGTTTTGATAAAAAGCCTGTTTTTTCYCCCCTCGGTGTGATGACACGAATTGGAACTCAGCGTTTTCACGCGAGTTCCTGTGTGCTTTTTCATGGCAGTCCCACCCTCTGCAACAGGAAATGGTGGTTATGCCCAGCTGTCCCCTTGCTTCCAGCTTCCTCACAGCTCGTCTTTCTCTCAACATTCCTCCCTTTCCCTGTGCTCTCTCTTGTCTGAGCCGCCTCACCCCTCGTATAGCTCGCTCCTACAGAAGGGAGGTGTGTGTGTGTGTCCGGGGGGGGGGGGGGGGGACAGCTAAACTTAACTGTCCTCCCACTGGCTCCATTATCTTTCCAGACTTGACTTGTCTGGGGAGTTATGCCTTCATCACACACCCTCGCTTTCTGCATTTATGGGCGCACGAATGTGTGCGTCTGTGTGCAGGTGACACGCCGTGCACCAACAGCTGAATCACAGAGGCGAGACAGGATTTCTGGACTGCCCCTGGAACAGATGGTTGATGAACTTGATCGGGGAATTAAAAACGCCAGAGATAGAGAATGCCTCAGTCGCAGATGGATGGGATTGTGGTTGATATTCTCCTGAGGTTTGGGCGCGTGAGCTCTCCTCTGTTCTGTTTTTTTCCTCTTTTRCCCCCTCTTCCACTTTGCCACAGAAGGAAATGTGTCTCTCTCATATCCCCCTGAATTTATACCCTCTTTGTTTTACAGGCCCCAGCAGTAAGCTGGTTTTATCTGTGCAGATGTGGCAACAAAKGTCTTCTTAGAAAGTTTGGCAACTGAAAATTCAACACTCACACCTCCTTTCACAAATGTTTTGTTGAAAATCTTTTTAAATTAAAGGAATGGTTAGGATGATTTGAAGTGGGGTTCTGTGAAGAAGTTTTAGACAATAACATCTTACCTGTTATGGATACTTCTTAAATCTCGGTTCATTTGTCTACATATTGCATTATAAAATGAGTCAGCCGTTAATTAGCGCTGTTAGAAAATTTAACTAACTTCGTTTGCTATAGAGCGCCCTAAAACTGGTTCTGTGACTGAGTCAAGACAGCAGGCTAATTAAAGCTAATGCTAATGTCTGCTGCTCGTTATGGTCTATTTTCAGACTCGCTGAAGATGCCTTTATTTATCCAGACATCACTCAATGATATTATTTGGAAATATACAATATATATAAAACACTGAAATAAATATTAGCATGTTTACACTATTGTAACATACTGTAGGTAATATTAATTCATAAAATTAGGTTCTTATATAGTTATACCTGCAGTCTATAGTTTTGTAAAAAGCCATTTAACAAAAAAGTGTAAGATATGTAAAGAAATATCATGCCAGTGGAATTTTATAATGTTATGTACATTTTTACAAACAAAACCAAAGTATGATTCCCATCACCTCAAATGCAAACGTGTAGTCCATCCAGCTGATGTATTTTAACTGACTGAARYCTGAGCACATATTTATTAAGTATGTAGTGTTCGAGTTGTGTTAAAATTATAAAAATGTRGTGTTTGCCCCTATATTTATATAGTAACCACAAGTAGTGAGTGAGTAAACATTTAAACAAAAATCTGCAGTTTAAACGTGATCCTTGCAAAGCCGTAAAGACTGAACAAAAAGTTTATTTTTAGTAGTTATTACAAATATTATTATTTCAAAAACTTTGAAGTTGCTGCTAATTTCATTGTGTCATTATTCCAGCAGAAATATTAGGAAATTTCAACAGGAAGTAGCCCCAGGCTGCACAGGAACTAGCTGCTATATAGGGCTGTGTATTTGCAAGAATTTGGCGATACGATACATATCATGACAGCGGGGTCACGATACGATATCTCCCGATATATTGCGATACTATAAGCAAGGCAATATATTGCGATTTTTTGTCCAAAAATTCTATTAAATAAAAACCTCTTACAGGGAAAAAAATGAAAAACCAAAATTCATTGTCTCATAAAATTCTAATATTACAGAGACATGCTTTTGACACATTTAGCTGTGTTTTGCTTTGTATGTATTTTATTTTATTTGTTTCATATTTCTTATTTCATCCATGTTTTCAATTATTAGACTAAATTTGACAGTAAACAGTTTGAAAATATATTTTTTGCAGCTTTTAGTTTTTAATTTTAATTTACAATATGGTCACCCAACGCTTAACAATGGCCTCTACCTCAAGAGGTAGAGGAGCCAAATGGCTGGCTCACTGCTGCCAACTAGTGGTCAGAGGCTGAACTACAACATAAAAARGAARGGRTGGCAYGAAYGTTGACATTTTAAACCTTAAWAAAAAATCAATACAGGGCTTTAAAATATCGATACAGTATCGGGAAATGAAATATCACGATATTTCAGTGTATCGATATTTTCTTACACCCCTACTGCTATAGAATTCCATGTAATGTGAAATTCAAAGATCTGTGTTATTGTCGTGTTTCCACAGAACCCCACTTCAAAATATCTGAACTGTTGCTTTAAATGATTTGCTGCTGGAATCAGGACYAGGCTGGGTTTGCTGCATCAAAGCTTCCCTCCAGCTGATTTTGTGTGGGATGAAGTCAGAGGAAGACGAGGCAGAAAAAAGCCTGTTGATTAAGAAGGCGTAAGACCGGGAAGGGAAATTYGCGAGGCAGCTCGTGGCTGAAGTCACCTAATAATTTTCTCCCCACACATCCGTAAACTCCTAATCAGCGGTCATAGTTCTGTGTGCTTCATTATTACTGAAGAGCTGTAATTTAGGGAGTCACTGATATCTTGATTTGATCGCACATGACAGTAATTCTGCCGAATGCAAATCGCTTGTCAACACTCCTGTCCTGGTTTTGTCACCCTTCCCGTATGCAGCCAGAGCCGAAGGTGGCCGAGGAGACGCCAGCGCCCCAGCCCTCCATCTGCTCGGGGCCTCCCATGAGAACCGGCGCTGTCAGAGTGAGACCGGCGTCTGCGAACGCGACACTAGGCTGTGTCAACACGAGGCCTGACCTCGCAAATCCGAGGCTGGAGACCGCCGTGCCAACCACCTCCTCCTCCAGCATCGCCGTCACATCAGAGCCTGCGTCAGCATCACCCACCAAAGTTAGCCTGAGCTCCAAGGACCTCCAGAAGTCCCAAGAGTGCCAAGGAGGAAAAGGTGAGTGAGGAAAGCCTCAGAAATAAAAAGTGAAAGTWGGGCTGAGATGTCAAAAATAAATTTAGGACTAAAAGACAAACCATCCAGGGTATGTCCTTCCTTTCAGCAGGTTTAATTGAATAAGTGAGCCTACATCAAGTCATTGCAGATAAAACTAAAGTTCACAGATTTTAGAGGAAACTCGAACGACGCTACGAGTTGAAACAGGCTCTACGATACTGCAGCTACAGATAACAATCACCAGCTGCTGAGGCAAAAAGAGGCTCTTTCTCTCCCCCGCTTCTCCTCTGAGATGAATAATGGGAGCAGAAACCAGACTGAACAAAGTCCACATCAGACAGGTTCTTCCGTTCTGCAGCGAGGAAGATAGATTTATTTCCCCGAACCCTATGCTGGCCGAACAGTGCCTCAGCCTGCAGGAATCTTTACGGACTGGCAGAGAGAAAGAGGCCTGCAGAGAGAGAAGAAAGGTGGGTTTGGCCCACTGGTATCACACCTGCATCTTTCCTCACTTATCCAATATGGACAAATAGCTTGTCCAGCAGCAGCTAGCTGTGGTATGGTTGGAATACCTTCATAATGCAAAAGCAACATCATTAAAAGGGTTTAAAAGATAATATTAACTTGGACTGCTAAGACGTTTTAAAAACTGGAGTTGTTCTTCGATGGTCTTTGGTCACGCTTCACTCYGACTAGCCATTAKCTCATCAGTCCTGTCAGAATTAACCTCTGTTCAAAGATCAMAATTCTTCCTCGGAGCCCCACTTTCAAAAGWTCTGAACTATCCTTTTAATGAGAAGAGACTTAAACTCAAATGTTTTTGAACAATTAGAGAAGCTGGAGTTAAACAGTGTTTTAAAATCAAATGTTTACCRCATTTTAGCATCAGTAAGTGAGAAAAATACTCCTCATTTGATTTGAATTCATCCAAAATGAGCAACAAATAAATCAAATCTTAATGATTCTACAAAATGCGTTCTGAGAAATTTAAAAACAATCCTCTAAATAATAATGTGTTGCAAGAACAACATACARTTTCAACTGTTTGCAGTACATAACTACAACAGAACTATACTTAGCACAAAAAAGTAAGAAAATAAGTGTATGGTAGATTGATTGTTGTAACYAAGCTTCTTGTTAATAAATCTTATAGCAGCACTACCAGAAGCTCAAAGAAGTCTCAATAACAACAYCAAAATAAGCTGTTTGACAGAGAAGATTTCACAATTTTTTTTCATGTGTGCAACCCACACACTTAGTCCTACTGCTCATCCCACAAATGTTTGTTCCTTACAAATGTAGCGCTATTTAAAAGAGATACTGACAAGCTAACAAGACGTATTGCCAAGAAGCACTGTTACAACAAGTAATAATCGACCAAAGACAAATCTTTTTACTTTTGGCCAAGTTTACTTTGTTTTTATAAAGAAAAAGGCTTCTATTTTATATTTAGTAACATTAAAAAATGCACTCATGGTTTGAAAAGCAATGTTTTTGCTGTATTTTTAAAGKCACTACTTTGTTATGCACAATGGCAAGATGAGGGTCATGGAACATTAGACATAACTTTGCTCTAAATTGTAATCATTAAAAGCAATTTTAATGTTTGATTCATAATTATATTTTTTCTAATTACTGAGTCTTTCATTTGTGCACATGCTAAGGTTGTGGGGAAAGGTCATTTTATTCAAGATCAAACTAACATTTTAAGTCCGTCCCTGGATGTTCCTCAGTTCAGATTATTTTAACGGAGTCTTTTTTTCTTTTTTTTTTTTACAGACACAAAGTGACCACTTTTTTTCATAAAACAATTGGTAAAGAAATGGTGAAGTTTAGCACCATCCAGTGGAAATTATTGATACTGTAGAAAAAAAAGGCAAGTTGGAGAGGAAAAAAATCTACAAAGGTCCCTCTGCTGGAAAACTGCTCTTCCTGCAACACAACAGATCAGGAGCAGAGTTGAGATTTCATACTCAAATTCTATTTTTATTTAGGAAATTTTAATAAAATAAAACTGATTAATTTGGTTAAATTCAGATTAATAGTTTGTAATTATGGTCATGTCTAAATATTCTTGTATGTGGAGTTTTTAGCACTTAGGACCATTTCTTCAAATGTTTCTGATCATTTCTCTCAGTCTCTAATGTWTGATTTAAATATCGCTGCATTTTTAGGCTGAAGCAGGAAATGAGGCAAAACAAAATACCAAAATATTAAAAATATCTGATGAGAGATATTGATGAACCTGGGATTTAATATTATTGACAAATGATTTGAGGAAGCTTGAGTTTGGACTCAAGAGTTAAAAACAAAGTCGAATTCAAATAAATAGTTTGAAGTCTTGTTTTTTTCCACACTTCTGTGATCTTTTAGTGGTTCATTATGAAATGATGCCTGTGAAAGTGTCACAAACGTTGGGAAGAATAAAGGTAAAAGGACAGCTGATGATGGAGGCTGAATCCCYTCCTAAATAATTAATGTGTCTCGACTGGACAGGGAGTTTGTTTCTGACAATGGCAGGAAGCTTGTTGCTTAGGAAGAAGGAGGCAAAAGGCTCCTGCTTCAGCTGTTTTCATTTGAATCCGGGTGATGACAAGCTCCGTCCCCTTAGCAGGACCCGTGAGACACACATTCAGAACATAACACAGTCAGTGTATGTTGTACAGTGCCCTGAAATATTTGTTATATAAATTAAATTGAAACAGTATTTATAAAAATACACATTCGATCAAAGAAAGTATTTTATTCTGAAAGGTCGTAAACTGAAAGTCTCAGAAGTTTGATGGATCCGGCGCCATTTATATATATATATATATATATATAAATGGCGCCGGATCCATCTTCTTTCTTTGTTTGGGTAGCTCTGCCCACCACTGTTAAGTTGTTTATCAGGAGCTAAAGAAAAAAAGTAAGCTGACAACCAAACCAAGAGTTGTGAAAGTATTTGTACACAGAATGTGTGTAATTTGCCTGTTAGCAGGAGATCATTTGCATTTGTCTTTTCTGTCTCGGGTCTTCACCTGGAAAGGACAAACATTCCACTTCTGCTGTTCCAGCTTTTAGTCCAAGGTGACGCTCAGCCAGGGCTGACAAGTGACAGAGGACCCCAGCCCCCACGCTGAAGCCCATCACCCGTTTTGACTGCGCACACACACACACACACACACACACACACACACACA